AGTAGCCAACACAATTAAGCTTACTAAATCCACTAGTTGACACACACAGCATATCACATTCAGTAACCAACGTATCAAGCTGTATGGTCTAATATTGACCTTGATGTCTATCGGAGGTGTTTGTTACAATGGAAATTGTGGCGTTGAGCAGATGTGGGTAATCAAGACCATCACAGTGAAAATGATCGACAATGGAAAAAATAGTTAAAAAGTCAACACAAAACCCTTAGTATTGTGGAATCGTCAACATCATTCGACGTTAGTATCACCTACATCAGAATTTTTCTAAAGAAGGAAAAGTTAACATTTCGTGGGAATTTAAGCTAAAAGTGCGCTTACCATAAACAAAATCGTGAGCTTGAAACTTTTATGGTCTCAGTTTTCACTTATTGAAAAAAACATTCCAATATCACAGGATTATGTATCACTCTTAAACAATGGATAACATTTTAGACAACAATGACTTATTTAATGTATACTGAATATTTTGTAATTAAATAAATGTTAAACTTGTTTCCTATAGTCCTAAAATGAACTATAATTGAGACTTAATTGTTTTCATTTGAAACAACTCCAATTTTGTAATTAGTCATTTGAAAAATTTGATAATTGAGAGATAGTTAAAGCCCCCACCACTGGGTCAGCGGTAAGATTATAGACTTACAAGGCTGACAGCTGGAGTTCCGTTTCCCGTGGTGGACAGAACGTAGATAGCTTATTGTGTAGCTTTGTGCTAAAACAAAGAAACGCAAGTAATTAAAACCTTGGTGGTAAGCAAAAACAAATATTAGGTTTTTGAGCCTAAACAACTTTCTTGATACCTAAAGAAAAAAGTCTTTTGTGACGAATATACGTTTGATAAATGATTCTGTACAATGGCATCCCAAAAAATAATTTTACATAAAAAATATAAAAAACAACAAGTGACATGAGACATACAATGTCTGAACCCCCTTTCTCGTCGATCTTAGTTTTTACGACTACCAAAAAACATAATTATCTGTATTATTATCATTACTTATAAATCAACTCCCTCGGTGGGCTAACATCCAACATTAAGTTTACATACTTACAACGCTAACATCCGGGGCTCGATTTCCCGCTGTGGACTCAACAGATAGTCCAATGTGGCTTTGCTCTAAAATATACAAATAAACTTATAATTCCACAAGAAAGACGAAACAGAACTTTCTTTGAAGTTTTGAGAGATCATGTGTGGCTACTACATTGACTTCATTTTACAGTTTAAACTCATTTTAAAATGTATTGATAACAGAAGCAAGTCTAGTGTTAATGGATTATATTTCAAAGCTGTTCATCTCAAGAAATTCTGCTGAACGATAGCGTAAAACTCTCCCTATAGTAAAACATAACCTGCTGATTTTTAATTTTTGTTTTACGTTTTATAATTATATATATATATATAGAGAGAGAGAGAGAGAGCAAAGCCGTTAGAAACTGTACCTCAGAAACATTTTGCAATGAATAAGAATGAATAATATAATAAAGTTACACTATTTTACACTGGAAAAGATACCCAATTTTACATTATGGTTTCATAATATCTTTTATGCATGTTATTAAATCATTTTTTCATTGTTCGTACCCAACTTTAGAATTACTAAATATTGCTTATGACGTGCGAAAATAGTTGTACTGAAACAATTAATAATATATTTTAATTGTAAGCATATTTTAGCTTAAAATTTATATGAAAATGATAAAACAGTCGTTTTTACATTGTATTAATATTACTGTAAATTATACAACAATAAACAATATAACTTAATAGTAGTTTCTCAATTTTTTCATCAACGTAATTTTATAAAAGTATGGGTTGCATATATTTATCTTTTGTGGAAAAGACTTATTTTTGTATGTGAAAAGTGTTTGATATTTTCAATTTCAGCGACACCTTATGTGACGCAAAGGATAAAAAATAAAGTCAGAGACATGAAGGTTCAGGCATAGCTATTCTTATTTTAGAAATGCTGACCAGAAGAAGGACAACAAGTCATTAGTACCAGCTGCATACAGTGTTACTCTTAACCAAACAGCGAGATTTACTGTCACGGCTATAACACCCTACTGCTGAAAGTGCGAAGCGTGTTCAGAGGCATATCGTGGCTCGAACTTTGAACCTGCCGATCCGCAATAGGCTATCTATGCTGTAACCACCACGAGTATCGAAGCCTGATTTTTAGCGTTATATGCCGTCAAACGTCCTGCTGAATTGAAAGAAATGAAAAACACTTTCCTGCTTCTCTGTCTATACAGATTTAACAATAAAATGTATTGGCTGAAGCACTTCGTTGTTTGTTATCATTTCAGCTCACACAGTATTTGTTTATTATATTCAGTTATCCTTCCGGCTCACACAGTACTTCTTTATTATATTCAGTTATCCTTCCGGCTCACACAGTACTCCTTTATTATATTCAGTTATCCTTCCGGCTCACACAGTATTTGTTTATTATATTCAGTTATCATTCCGGCTTATACAGTATTTGTTTATTATATTCAGTTATCCTTCCGGCTCACACAGTACTTCTTTATTATATTCAATTATCTTTCCGGCTCATACAGTATTTGTTTATTATATTCAGTTATCCTTCCGGCTCACACAGTACTTCTTTATTATATTCAATTATCTTTCCGGCTCATACAGTATTTGTTTATTATATTCAGTTATCCTTCCGGCTCACACAGTACTTCTTTATTATATTCAATTATCTTTCCGGCTCATACAGTATTTGTTT